TAAAAATTATATATAATGGGAGCCGGATGCTGTGGCACATGCCTGTAATCTCAGCTACTTGGGGGGTAAAAGCAGGAAGATCATGAGTCTAAGATTAGTCTAAAAAACCCCACAAAAATTACAATGTTAAAAATTATTTTTAATGGAAGGTTAATATTTAACTTTGATTAACTGCCTTTTTATATCCTAGGCTGACCAGATATCTGGTTTTCATATAAGATCTGTTCTCTGCGTCCCTATTTGGAATAGCAACCACCAAATAATTGGTAAGACATTACTCAAACAGTTCTAACTTCTTTTATAAAGGAACAGAAATATGCTTTAAAATACACCCATATCATTTTTACATGTTCCCCCTTTTTATGTCCATGCTCACCAAGCCTGCTCTATCTCATAAGTACAAACTCCTAATGAATAGACATTAGAACATAAACAATGTTTTTTAAGCTCAAAAAACCAACAAATTTTAAAGTTAGAGGGAATCATAGAAGCTAATAGAACTCTTTTATTGTACCTTGAAGCAAAAGGGGAGAGAGAGTGCACAGGGACTTGAACAAGGTTGCAAAGTTAGACAGTAGCTAGGTCAGCATTAAAATTCAGGCCTCCAACTCTTGGTACAAACTTTCTGTTATGTCTTTATTCTTTTATCTGGGCTTTTATACCTTCTGTAGATGTAATGGCAGTGAGAATGTGCAATATTGGATATATATTGAACATGCATGTTTCTGCCTGGATAGTTCTAAAATAGGTTATACTTTTCCCAGTGTAAGGGAATTTCAAGCAAAACTAGCCTCCATCTCTTTCTTTCTAACTGCCCTTTTCCCTTCCCGCAAAAATAAAAAGAACCAAAGTTAATAAAGAAATCCAGGCAAGAAGAGTTCATGGTTTGAAAAATCATAAAGGATGGAGAAATTAGTTAAAATTATTGAAACATAATCAAAATGTGATTTTTTTTCCCTATGAGACATAAGGTAACTAAGGTATATGGTACATAATGCATCTTTTCCCCTCTCTGCTTCTCCCTAAGTTTGCTTGCTAAGCTCTAGGACACTGTTATCCAACAAAGGATTTAGCATTCTGCAAGTGTGGCCCAAACCTGATTTTTGAAAGATTTTTTCATTGGATTGCTTAATTCGCACAAAAATATTGGTACATTATTGAACATAAAGTATATTCTAGGATCTGAGGATCTGTGCCCCTAGTACAAATGGGGATTAAATTGCACCATGTACAGAGTTTTAAATACATTTATATTTAAAGAAAGGAAAAAGTCCAAGAGAAACACTATGGGTTATTTGTTGATTCAATGACAATCTCACATACAGTTTTGGATTTCAATCCTAACAGTGAACATCTGTATTACTTCAATTAGGACTGTAGTTTCCTTGTTACATGCTAAAATTTTGCATTTTATTATATATTTTTTTTCTAGGAGTTAGATTTTTTTAAACAACAAGAAGAAGAAGCATATTTTAAAATAGTTATTTTTTGTTTGTACTAAATGGAAACAGACTAGTGGTTTTCAAGATTGTTGGGTTTTTCTTATTAGACTGTTATGCTTTGGAAGCATGCCCTAGAACAGCTGATATAATGCTGTAAGTGAACTTTGAAAGGAGGAAGCATTCATAAATTAAGTTTGTTAGAACTATGCAAACCATTGGTAGCAAGCAACAGAACTAACTTTGCTTTGAAGGTTAATAGTACATCCATTTCCATTGCTTGTAGTAATTCCCATCACTTCTTGAATATCTACTTCATGTGGAGCAATATGCTGTTTTACAAGCATTTAAACATTATCTCAACATGGAGAACAAAACAGTGGTTACCAGGGGTAAGATAAGGGGAGGAAAAGGGGAGATGTAGGCTAGAAGATAGAAAGCAGCATAATATGTAAGAGGAAAAAATGTAGAGCTCTAATTACAGCATGAAGACTATAGATAATTAAATTATAGTTTTTTGGAGATTCATTCTAATTGTGTAGATTCTAGCTGCCTTGCCACCCCTAAAAAAGCACAAAATGGATGTCTATGTGAGTTGATGGATATTTATCTGCTTTACTACAGTAAAGTTTTTACTCTCTGTATGTGTCCCACAACATTATGTTGTATGCCTTAAATACACACAATAAATTTTTTAATTATCTTACTGAATCTTCATTACCATCTGAGGTAGTTAACATTTTAATTCCCGTTTAACCATGAAAAATCTCAGGGCTAAAAATGTTAAGCAATAACTTAGGGTTATACAGCTGGCAGTGGAGCTTGCATTTGAACCAAGACCATCTAAAATCCAGAGCCTGTGATCTTAATCAGAGCCTTGCTAAAACATTGAGAAAGATATATTCTCTCCCCCTACACACACATGTAGTTGTATATTTGTGTGTTTGTGAATACACATGCATATTTGCCAGCTATCTCAGAGCTGTGATACATAGGACTTTAAACTGGGTGTCTACAGATACTTAGTGGAGGCAGAGAGCTACCTGTGTCTACTCTAATACAGTACACAATGTCCAGCATTGAAAATGACCATATTCCTCAAACTTCTTCCATAGGAGTGGCTCAAGTGTTGAACAGACTTGATGGGAAACCTTTTGATGATGCAGATCAACGACTTTTTGAGGTAAGAAAATAAATTTATAAACCAAGGGTCATCGCTGAGTCACCGTTAGTCTCCTGTCACAGTTTGTGCACATCTGTAAGGATAAACCATCCTTAATTATTATTATATTTAAATGGTGCCAAAATGTAAAGGAAGATTTGAAGAATATATAAATGCATAGGTAAAATTTGATTCTGTTTTTCGCTTAGCAGCTTATTTTGTAAACCTCAGTTGTTTTTATCTTAATTTATTACAGAATCAAGTCTCCCCTGATCCCCTGCAAGTTATTATTTTGTTATATGTCCCATCCTTGTCTGGTTTGTACATGTTCAGAATCCGGAGATCCTCAGTCAGCTTGGCCAGGTGTATCGCCCTCACTCTCCCTAGGTTCTCAAGTTTCCTCCAGCTGGAGAGGCCTGGCTTCAGTGGCCCTCCTTCCTGTCCCAGTAGCCAGCAGGAAAACCCCAGCATTGATTTCTCCAGCCCAGAATACTGCACAGCTTCTTCATCAGCTCATTCTCAATCAGTCTCCTTCCCCTTACCACTTATCTTGGGGTTACTCTCACTTCATTTCTTTATCAAAATATTTTACAGCCTAGTTACTGAAAGAGGTTGCTTTTGGTTAAATAGAATTAACTAAAATCATTCCCAACCTAAATACATTTAAAACCCATTTTAAAAGATAGTGTGTTTTTAAATGTATGAATTTCTTCACAATGGCATTAAATTAATAATTTTTCTCATGTGTAATGTGAGTTATAAAGTTGTTACATGACAGTAGTAATTAAGAATTTTAATATGTATATTACCCCAAGGCCTGCCTCTGTGTACAATAAAATTGTATTTTCAGACCCGTCTCTGATTACTGCCTGCTTTCATATTACATTTTGCCAATGAGATATCACAATTTTTAATTAATGGGCTTTTCCTTTCCTAGGCTTTTGTCATCTTTTGTGGCCTTGGTATCAACAACACAATTATGTATGATCAAGTGAAGAAGTCCTGGGCTAAGCAGTCTGTGGCTCTTGATGTAAGTACTTCATGTACATCAAAATCCTCTGCTAAAGAGCCCCAGTTTTATGGAAGAAAAAGTATCTTTGGTGTGGGGCTTAATTTCTTAACTTTTACTTATCTATTTGTTTGGGCCTTAGTCATTTTCGGGCTATAGGTTCAAATTTGGTAAAAACTAAAGACCCTTTCTAGAAAAATGCACATATATACACTGTTTCATGTATTTTCAGGGAGCTTGCAGATTCTTTGATGCTCACCCACACATGACCTATGGTTAGATGTGGATTTTATGTTAGATTTATTAAATAGTGGTAAGTCAAAAAGAAAATTGTCAGGATTTAAAATGTAGTGTGAACTTAGATTTGAATATGTATAGATATTCTGCAACTTCACAGTTTTTCTTATCAAAGAAAATCTCACTGTGAAGATATCTGGCCCAGATGGGAAAAGCTGCTCCACTCATTATCCAGCTACCTCTTTCCCATGCACACACATGTGCACACACACACACACTCACCCACCCTGTGTTGTTTCCATGCCAACACCACATGTCCTCTCAGACCCACTAAATTCTAAAAGAAGCGTTCTCCTCTCCCATGATTCTCAGGTGCTTATTTTGACCTAGGACCTATTATTTGTCCAGTATCTTGCTCTGTAGATAGACCTTGTTTCTATCTATGACATACTTATTAGGTAAGGCAGATAAAATGTCAGCGCCAACATAACAGTCTGTAGAACAGTAAAATACATGTGCGGTCTTCAAAATATTATGGGCACCAAGCTAGACTTTGGTAGAAAGAGAAAAGCGACAGGAAGTACGAGTAGGCAGATAAATGGTTCTTGCAGTACTCTGGTTTAAGATTTTAAAAACATGAAATTATAGTTATCTAATCTATTTACTTTTCTTCCTCCTGGCTAGCCTGTGACTTCTGGAAGCAGAGTCTTTATGCTTTATGCAATTTTATTGGCAATGCTTAGCAGAGAGGAGGGGCTTATTGAATAGTTTTTGGATGGAGAGGAGGAGGGAAAGAAGACAGAAGGAAAGAAGGGAGGGAATGGATTTTGCTGTTGTTCTCCTGAGATAGCCCTGCATGCTTACGTGTAACATGTTTACAGTAAAGACTAAAAGTAATATCTGATGAATCAATAAATGGATGAACTGCAAACATGCCCTTGGACAAGTCTCACTAGTAGGGTATTAAGATCTGTATGCAGAACTATTTTTAAATAATGTCTCTGTCATCTCACTCAATTGTGAGAATTAAATCAGATGATGCATGTGAAGATTTTAATGAGCTGAGCAGTCAATAAAATTATAGCAACAACAGTAGTCACTATATTTATTATCTGTAGCAATGTATTGCTGAGAAATAATTAGGAGAAAGAGCAAAGAACAGGAATTTCGAGTAGCAAATGTGAGTCATGCTGTCATCAAATTCTGATTGCAGCAGAGTTGCCTCACCCCTTGTTTCTTACTTCCTGCAACTATAAAAAGATCATTCCATATACTAGTCACAATTAAATACTTGTCTACATGTCATGGAATCATTAGCACATACAGAAAGCAACTCATGCTTCCCCACATTCTCACTCCTCGCCTGCCTCCTAGTGCATCTTCATCCCCCTGAGAAGGAGCTAGCACAATTGAGTGGCCACTTACCCTGGAAAAGAGTCAGTGAAAGGCACCAGTCTCACTGACAGCATTTCCTAATGCCCATGGGAAACACTGGTACCTAGAAAGTGCTACTGGCCCCACCACCCCTAGCCATGGTCTCTTCACCCATGCACTGCTTATTCAGGTGGATAGTAGACAGCCTCTTGTTTGTGCAACTCAGCCACCTTCTATCCCCAGATATAAAGAGTATTACTTACACTACCAAATTTCTGGCTCAACTCTGAATCTTATGACTGTCATCCTTAGGAGAGATTGACTTACATGTGTTAACTTGTATTTCTGTGTGCTTTCTTTTGTGTCAGTTGTCAAAAGTGACATTCCCTGTCAGATTCTAATGTTGCCATCTTGGTTCTTTCCCTCCCACCCTGAGCCCAACCCCTTCCACTGGAGACCAAATACTTGACTCTAGTAATTGGGTAACATCCACCCCACTCCATGGCCTTGGAATCTGTATGCAAGAGTGGCTACAAGGATTCCTTATCCTCAGGACTTTATGAAGATAAAAAATGATTTTTTGAGAGCTACTAAACCTAAACTCAGGAATGAGATTTTCCTGAGATACTATGTGTTAACTTCTGGGTAAATATATAAAATTTACGTACTTACAGATATTGTACATGAATAAGTGTGATATTTTGTAAGTATTTCTATTAAAATTATGTACTTATAGGTATATATTTATAACCAAACTAGTCCCATAAAGGATTTGAGCTATATAAGAATATAAATGAGTCAAAAAATTGGTTTTAAAAGCGAAATAATAGTAATAACAAAGCTGAGGCTGGGGATTTAGCTCAGTGGCACCATGCCTTTCTCAGAAGTGCAAGGTCCCGAGTTCGATTCCCAGTACCAAAATAATAATAATAATAATAATAACAGCTGAGACAGAGAAAGCCAAGGGGGATAGAAGCAAATAGCAGTGCTATTCTGGATCCTCTCCATTCCTCCTCTTCTTCTCTTTGTATTGTCTCAGTTTTACACATTCTCTTCAGTCTTTATCCTGCTTTATCTTGTCCCAAGAAAAACAACATTTAAAATGTAGCTCTCTAAACCAGGCATGGTGGTGCACGCATGTAATTCTAGCCATCAGGAGGCTAAGGCAGAAGAATCCACGAGAGTTTGGGACCAGCATGGGCAACATAGGGAGACCAAAGACAAAGTAGCTGTCATTCCCATAATCTTATTACACTGTCTTTTATTTTTCAGTTATGAACAAGAGTATAGGGAAACAACCAATCCCTTGGTACCCAGAAACAAGAATCTCCCTGGAAGCCTGTCCCTCCAGAAAGAGAGTAGGCATAGCTCAGGGCCTGGAATGCTCATGGAACTGCATTTCTCCCACGTGTTAAAGAGGCTCTGGAGAGACAGCACAACACTGTTCTCTTCTGTCTTTTAAACATCCTTCCTAAGGCATTTTTAATAAACACGATGCATCCTCTGAAAGTAAATATTCTTCAGATAAATTCTCTGGAAAGACTAATCCCCACAAATGGAGTTGAGTATAATCTCTGAAACACTCAGGCCCCCCTGCAACTATACTTTATTAAACAAAATATATGGCTCTAACTTTATTTTTCTCCCCACATAGCTGCTGATTTCCATGTATTAATGCTGGCTACTTTTCCTATTGCTTGGAAGTGCCATTTTAAATTATACAAATTCATATGCATGCATGCACATACACATTATATATACAAGTATTTTTCTTTACACATTAGTTTGTTCAACTGATCTGGGAAAAAAACTCCAGAAGTTCATTGGTTTTGTTTGTTTGTTTGTGTTTGTTTTTGTTTTGTTTTTTGCAGTATGGGGGACTGAATTTAGGACCTTGCGCTTGCGAGGCCAGCACAGGGCCACTGAGCTAAATCCCGGGCCCCAGAAGTTCATTGTTTTAAGTGCACTTCTGATATGAGGTTTTCTTTGTATCAATATCTCCTGCAGAAGGAGGCTGCTGGCTTTATGCAAGCAAGAAGCAGTGTGGGTTGAAGATGAAACGTGCTGGTCTTGGCATTGGTCTCATTAGTCTAGTTTGGATTGAATCCTGATCCAACAACCACTGACTGTGCAAGCAAGCTCTGTGCTGTCAGTCTCAATTAATGTCTATGGTAAATGAGTAGACAAAGGCTGCCTCAGCTCACTCCTGCTTCTTCAACGATGCCTGTTTTCTGTCACCTGGATTACTGGATATCTTCTTGCAGAAATTCCAGGATATAGAAATGCAAAGTGCCCACATCAAAAACTCAAGTTACACCTCTCCAAAGGCAAAGCTTCCCCCAAAAGACCTGCCACCCTAGGGTGTTTCTTACCTGTGGCCCCTCACTACAACTTCAGCTCACTTTAGCCACACTCCACAAGTAGTTGAATATAGAATTATGAATATACAAAATACTTTTCTGGCCTTTAAAAATTTCAGTGAATAATAATAATAATAATAATAATAATAATAATAAATTGTCTGGATTTTAACAATTGAATTATCAACTCAATTATTTTGGCAATTGCTTTTTTAATTTCCCATAATTTAGTTACATAATTCTATTGTTAAATCCTTTTTTCTTAATATATAAAATTATTATTCTGAGGCTCTTAGAGAGCAGAGATGCTCTTAAAGCTGAATAATAGAACAAAGAGAGAAATTTACTATCCTTTTTAATAACTTTAACTTTATGGTCCTGATTTCCATTCTGCATGGGTAGCCAAGACACCAGAAGAGCTGCTTTAATAATATGTTCACATTATCAGAGAGTGAGATCCTAAGAAAAAAAGGATAAACTTTACCTAAAAGTCAGAATATGTAGAAAATACAATACAAATGTAGATATAGAATATTACTTTCTCATTTTGCACATCAAGAATTATTCTTTGGGGTATCTTTCATAGTTATTGCAAATGAAGCCTTACCTAATACTGATGAGAAATTTTTCAGAAAATGTAAGTTTGTGTGTTAAGGGACACCTCATGCAGCTTTATGATCAAAAGAGGGAAGGAATGAGGTCAAACAGAGGGTGAGAAAAAGGACTATGCAATCAGGAGCCAAGCTCCATTTATTCTACCTCCCCAAAGCCTCCCATCTATTTCCTCCTTTCCAATTGCCACAGCAACCATCCTACTTAAGAGCTTCATTACCTCTAGGCTGGGCAATTGTAATAGCCTTCTACTTGTTCTTCCTAAACATATTTTAGATTGCATCTCTCACCCACTCATAGATCTTATATTATTCCCCCATTACCTATCAAAGTATGAATGTCCTGGCCTTGGGGCCCTTGGAAATCTCACACTAAACTATTTTCCTCCCCTTGGCTCCTATTTCTCTTCTCAGAGGTCTATGCTACTTATAAACTCAA